TTTATCTGTATTTTATCTCAAGGGAAAATTATTTATTATTTTGTACGTATGACTGGTGTTTATGAAACAAGTTAGGCTTATTTGATTGTCTGTTGAACTTCATTTCAAGTCACAGCTTCGTTTAGTTTTCCTCCTTGCACTCTTATTTTCACTGAGTTGTATTCCATTGTATGTTGTATTCAGCGACGAAATAGTATGGATTCATTGTATTCTGCAGAAATTGTTCTTGTTTTACTCAAAAATATTGGAATCGGTTGTTCTAGATGAAATTGTCCTATCTAAAGAATCTCGAAACATCTGGAACACACAAATAATTTACTTTTATCAAGTAGAACTGATAAACGAAAATTGCAAAACTACTGAACACTTAAAGCGAAATACAAGGAGACTCCGTTAAAGTTTTGCATTAGTTCTAGTTACCAGACTTTGAAACAGCACATGTACCAGGATCAGTGTATGCTATTTCCTTGTCTAGAAATTGCGAATGAGGAGATAAGAATATTGATTAATCTTGCTTATCTATAAGGAGTTATTAGTTTCCGATACCTCAGCATGAGTACTGGAGGTCTAGTTGACATTCGCAAACCTTCATCTCTTTTTATCTAATACGGACAACGTTACTGCATTGAAAGCCTGACTGATTTTTCCTTAGGTTGTTAGTCCTATTCGCTTACATTTTGTCACGCGAGAATATTACAAGTACTTAACCACAATCATTTTCTAAATGTTGGTTACAAGTTATGGAATCACAGGGTTGTTAATGTTTCAGTTAGTCATAAGGTCGTAAATAACGAAAATAAGGTATTTAGCAAAGTTTTGAAACCTACACTGACTTAGTTGTCGTCTAAATAACGAAAACTACTGCTTTCCTCTAAAATTGCCTCCTGATTAACTCTAATGATAATAACAATTGCTTTATTCTGAAAGATTTCGGGAACACTACATATGTTACATACACCTATACCTGCCGGCGGCCGATACGTCATATTTCTTGACCTGAAGGAAGCATTTGACTCTGTCAACTGTAAGGTGTTGCTACAGTGTCTGACTATGAAGGGAGCACTGAGAAAGTATATGATGTTTATAAAAGCTTTATACTCGAACTCATGAAGCCGACTTAAGGTCTTATGGAAAGTTATCACGTGAGTTGACGACAATTAGTGGTGTTCGCCAGGAATGTCTACTGTTCCTGTTTTAACTTTATCATAGACGCACTATTGGACATAACCTTATGTACGTCTGACTTCACAGGGATAGTCCTGCTTTCTGGAAGTTATCTGGTTGACTTGAAAAACGCTGACAAAATGCACGGTTTTCTGAAGGCACATATTCAGCAGAAATTTGAGTATGTTTGGGATGCATCTTGATCCTGTCAAATATAAGATGATGCTCCAGGACTAGTCTCCTGCAATTACTCTCATTTTAGTGGTAGGGAGTTGCGTCAACTCGCCCAACCGGCTGGTCGCTGATGAAATCTGAGCTCGAACACAGAAGACCCGTTTGGCACTTACTAACTTACATCACCTGGGGCACTGAGTGCCGAAATAAGCGATTTTCTATCAAAGAACGAGTATAATGTGCCGCAATCCGTGCTGTCCTGTTGTACGTCTGTGAGATATGGCCGTTGAAATTCGAAGGCATAAATCCATAACGGGGTTTTGATCATAGGTGTCGTCGTTACATCGCTTGCGTCTGGTTGAATCACTGTGTGAGTAATGTTGAAGTCAGGCGAAGGGTACTAGGTACGACAGCCAAGTTGGTTGATGAGGTTGTGAACCCTCATCGACTGAGATGGCTTAGAGATATGTCGTGCATGCCGAGCCACGACCTACCTCGACGTGCTATACTAGGATGAGCTGGATTGAATCAGGGTGATGAGACAAAGACCTGACACCAGTCGAAGAAGTTTCTAGCTGTTTATTTGAGTCGTTTCGGAGGAGATGTAGACTGCCTGGTTGGGGTCACTACGGCGATAGTACTCGGTTGTCCGAGGTCTCTTGATGACGGCTGAAAATCAGTCACAATGCCGCGGATGTATTCTCTCCTTGACATCTGAAGCTTGAATACTATGCGCCATCAGTTATCTTCAAATTGTTTATTTTCTCACACTACTTTGTCTACTTTTATATGTCAGTCTTTTTCTAACCAATTGTTCTTTGTATGATACTGTAAAGTGTGGCAGCTGGACGTGATTGACTTGAAAATGAAATAAGGATAAAAAGCAGAAGTTTTAAAATTCATTAATAAGGTCATTCGTTACGTTCTTCCCTGCCAAGGGGGCGGGGGGGGGTAAAGGCTGTACAAATTTCTTCTGGATACGGAGCTTTGAATTGTTTATTCTAATTCCTATAGCCTCAGCTATATGTAATAGGCGGATTCGAACTCCATCGGAAAGGTTCGGTGGTATGTGCTAAATCACTTCGGACCCTTTCGTCTTATCTACTCTGTGGTAATGCTTTCGTGTCCTGTTTATTGCCTGTTTTCTGTGTGATAAATTATTGATGTCTAAATTTATCACTATGACTGGCGTTCTGCTCAAGTAGCAAAAACTGTGTGCATTACTGCTGATAGTAAAGTAGATATCTCGGAGATACAAAAAGCCTAAGTGTAGCACGATTTATAAAGTGCTTGGAAAATCTCATACCTGTTTATTGCTATAACAATGGCATGACGGCGACAAAATTTTAAAACCATATGTTAAACTACCTCTGATTTATGATTAAGTAAAAATAACTCAAATATGCTGTTAAATGCAGAATTTTCGAAAGTACTCACATAACATATATGTCTCTCAAGTGAGCATATGGCTTATTACTTCAAGCACTCGATTTTCAAGCCGTTGGTTTCGCGTTCTCAACCCACCCTGTATACTTCGATTTGTATAGCTAAGTAGCAACATAAGCCTCCACACAATAAATGTTGCTCATACCTATTACATTACCTGAGATAGGGTAAGATACATTATTGTTATTAGTATCAGTATTACTATCTCTCAAGTAAAAACATGAATCATTTTAAAATACTAAAATAATGCTAGTAAATTTGTATGTTTGCTGCCGATTCCTCTTTAACTGCGTTTTTTTCTTCTCTTTTCTTATCATCCAGAGTATCTGCCTGTTTCCCAGAGTAATAATGATAATACGTGATGGTTAAACGTGAAGTTTATATCTCGACCTCGGCCGGATTCGAACCAGCGACCACCGGGGTTCTGACCCATTCCTCGACCAACTGAGCTACGATGACCGACCACCGACCAGATTTTGATTTCATTTCAATCACCAACCATTTTGCTCGACTACCATGTAAATTCATGACACATAACTACCGCTTGATCGTACTCACACTGGCTGCCCAGTCAGAACTCCTCATCCTAATTCAAATCTAACTGAATCACATAGGGGGATCACCATATCGATTACTACTTTTGACTGTCTGAAATAATCATGGTTTGGCAGGCTTATATTGGTAACAGTGGAGAACCGGGCTGGAAACTCGGTGGTCGCTGTTTCGAATTCGGCTACAGTCCAAATTTTCATTTCACCTTCAATCATCACCCAGTATCAATACTAGTCTGCCAAACCACGGCTACCTCAGATAGTCGAAATGATAATCACTATGGTGCTCCACGTCTCCAATTCAGATAGATTGGGATTGGGATGAGAAGTCCTGACTGGGCAGCAAGTGTGGGTACGATCAAGTATTCGTAACACATCACGAATTCACATGGTAGTCGGGCAAAACCCTTGTTGATTGAAGTGCAGTTAAAACCTGGTCAACAATCAGACCTCGTAGCTCAGTTGGTAGAGCATCAGACGGAAGACCAAGTGGTCGCTAGTTCGAATCCGGCCGCGGTTCAAATTTTCATTTCATCTTCAACTATCACTTGGTATTTCTTTGTTCTTTCACCACGATTCTAATTATCTGTCGTCATTTTGTGTGACTGATTTTATGGGTGCTTATTTATTTGGCTGTTTACCATTGAATCTTAAGTTTCAATCTTACTACGTCCACAGCAATATGCAATATTGTTAACCCTCACATGGGATGTGTGACCTATAACCTAAAATATGAATCAGTGTTGTAAGTCAGGATTATGCAACCACCTGTAATTCACTTATTGATCTAAACAATCTTATTTATAAGCCTATCTTGGTCAAATTTGATTATTGTAGTTTTAATCACTTGGCTAATACATCATCAGCACGTGATGTTCACTGAAGTTTTGTGTTTATCTTGGTAAGATATTAAGTGGCTATTGAATGCCTGTAAAAACTAGTTAATTGCTTTTACTGTGCATAAAGTTGTGTGAAGTCTAAGTCACTGCTTTTTTGAGTGTATATTATGTGTTCATGTTGGTATATCTACTGCATTCAATCGTATGTGTGATTGTCGGAAACATATTTCTAAATATATTTCACCAACGAGGACCTTTCGTAACATTTCTAGAGACCTAGAGAGACAGATTATACTTACACTGAGGCTTCACTATACTTGAGCAGTCCTACCAATGCATGTATAAACGGAAACCTGTAATCTAAAGTCATTCAATTTGGACGGCTGTTACTTAAAGCAGAAAATTCTACTATGAATTACATCTACATTTCAATAGGCAGTCGAATATCTCACTCTCATCTCAGATAAAGTAAGTTAGGGAATACTAAACATTTTTTTCTATCTGCTCTGAGATAAATTTTCTTTTGAAATATGTCAAATTGCTTCACATGAAAACTTTTTATGTACTTCGAAATCCGATAAGCGTGAAAACATAATCATAAAATTTTGTCTCTGTTGACTGCATCATAAAACTAAAAAAATACTATTGATTCACTGAAGATGTTATCTGAAGGATTGTAGTTTTAAATCTGTAACGTTATTAACTTCACTTCGTTCCTTGAATAGCTTTTTTCTATTACAAGTATCAGATTTTATCCCTTTTAATTTGTATGGTGTAAAAACGAAAGTTCTCTTCTATTAACTGGGTTTTTTTCACCTTTCTCTAGGCACTCGTTATAGGCGCCGTGGAATTGATGCTGATGGATATGTGGCTAATTATGTTGAAACAGAACAAGTAGGTGGTTATTTAAATGAATAAAGCTGTTTTTTTGCTATAATAATAACCTACTTTCTGATTTTAGTTTTTTGAAATACGGTAAAAGTATTTTTATATATGATGTGATGTTGTAAAGGTTCTGAAGTATTGCATCTCAGTTAACAGAAATAGGTTCAACGTAGACATGAATTTGCAAAGGTAATCAGAATGCATGCTAAACCAACCACCTTGGTAAACCCCCAGAATTCACCCCAGGATGTGGGGTTACTGAATGGTTACCCATTCTATATAATCTTCATTTTTGACGACCTGAGATAGCCGTGGTTTGGCAGACTAGTATTGATACTGGGTGATGATTGAAGGTGAAATGAAAATTTGAACCGCGGCCGGATTCGAACTAGCGACCACTTGGTCTTCCGCCTGATGCTCTACCAACTGAGCTACGAGGTCTGATTGTTGACCAGGTTTTAACTGCACTTCAATCAACAAGGGTTTTGCCCGACTACCATGTGAATTCGTGATGTGTTACGAATACTTGATCGTACCCACACTTGCTGCCCAGTCAGGACTTCTCATCCCAATCCCAATCTATCTGAATTGGAGACGTGGAGCACCATAGTGATTATCATTTCGACTATCTGAGGTAGCCGTGGTTTGGCAGACTAGTATTGATACTGGGTGATGATTGAAGGTGAAATGAAAATTTGGACTGTAGCCGAATTCGAAACAGCGACCACCGAGTTTCCAGCCCGGTTCTCCACTGTTACCAATATAAGCCTGCCAAACCATGATTATTTCAGACAGTCAAAAGTAGTAATCGATATGGTGATCCCCCTATGTGATTCAGTTAGATTTGAATTAGGATGAGGAGTTCTGACTGGGCAGCCAGTGTGAGTACGATCAAGCGGTAGTTATGTGTCATGAATTTACATGGTAGTCGAGCAAAATGGTTGGTGATTGAAATGAAATCAAAATCTGGTCGGTGGTCGGTCATCGTAGCTCAGTTGGTCGAGGAATGGGTCAGAACCCCGGTGGTCGCTGGTTCGAATCCGGCCGAGGTCGAGATTTTAACTTCACTTTTAACCATCTCCCCGTATGTTTCGTATATAGGGTCGTTGTAAACATAGTTACATGTGCTTCTCTAGTATAACAGTAGCCCTTCTCCATTTTTATCTTATCTAGTTAGAAACCGTTATATTAGTGTAGATAGTGTGATTCCCTTTTTTGATCCCAGTAAGAAGAAATTCATTTTTCTACTTCCTAATTTTTTGAGATATTTGTTTATCAGTCTTTTTTTCGTCTAGGAGACCTTTGCTTGCAAGTTGTCGCAGTCTTTCTCTCGATTAGCTTTTTTTTAAATACAAGCTGAACCATTCAAAAGATAGGTTTTATCAAAAACACCTAATTCCTTGTAGATACCTGCAGTTGAAGGTGAAAATTAATCTTGTGACAAACTTCCTCCACTCATTCTTATAGGTTGTTTTGCTGTGTATTTTATAGACAATTGAGTGCATCAACTTTACTTGGACAATACGTAGCTGTAAAGGTTATGTTATCATTCAACCTGACTGCTTCTCTTTATTCCAGTCGCAAATATTAGTATATACCACTGTACGTTGATGGGTCACAAATGGAGTTAGTTGACAACTTTATTTCTTCGATAGAACATTTGAGAGATTCAGAACAACCAATTGTCCTAAACACTGTATATATTATAGAATAGTGGGTGGAACTTCAGATAAATTCATTTTGTCCCAGTGAATTTAAAGCAAGATTTCTTTAATATGCCAATTAGGTAGACCTCAGAGTCTGTACCCAAAAAAGAGCAGTTAAAAATCTCTTTATTTTACTTCGCAAAGGTATAATATACTGTTTCAGGAATATTTCATGCATTATAGAAATATAAATGGATGTCTACATTATCTGTTCTATTGATGTTATTGATATGACCAGATAAGAATGAGTGTTTTCTCTGAAATATATGTGTTATTTCAATCACCACCACTAACATTCAGATGATACACAGTCACACTGCTGAAGACTTCTGCACCTCTCAGATTATAAAACAGCACTAGAGAATTCAATGACTACTTTGACCATGCATAATTTTTGGTATAGTCATAATGAACATAAATCAATGTATACATTATGTCAGGTTAACTCTGGACAACTTTTTCAGAATTATATTTGCAGTTCGAATAGAAAATTTTTTTAAGGTTACAAATTGGGTCACGTGTACATTGCACAAACTCTTGAATAGGAAGTTAATTGGTAATTTCATGCATAGTTAACGTGAATCAGAAGTGTCTTGTCCATTATCTCTTTATAGTCTGCACGTAATGTTTTGTTGATATTTATAATGCCAATGGTAAACTCGCTTCTAGACAAACCCATTCAGTGATAAGCAAAGCAGTTTAAACCAATTCATAGTTTGAGAGATAGCTTCAAACCCTAAGCGATCTGGAAAAATTTGTGGTTTGTTTTGATGTATCATTCTTAACCATTAGATTCATCTTTAAAGAAACTTTAGCAATTGTGCTTCAGGATTCTGATAGTCTTGCCTTACTTAAACAAGAGTTAAAGCCGCTGCTATTCATATGAACCAAAAATAAACGGTTTGAATTCAACAACGTTATTGATCACAGAGTCGATTGAGTTTCAGTTAGCAGTTCCTAAGGTCCCATACTACTTGATGTCTTCATGAAGCGTCCAATTGACAAGATATCATCCTTCCGTGTGTTGATTATGCATATGTTGTCTGCAACAGCCTTAAACAAGCGTCGTATATGCTGAACCTACTCAATAAAATAAGGCGTAACGTAGAATTTACGATCGAAGACATACAAAAGAAGTTTCACCGTGTCGACCGTGAATTCTACGAACTATGGATGATAGCATAAAATTACTCATTCATCGTTAAGGTTCATAGAGTGAATGGTGTTTTAATAGGTCGTAGATTCTTTCGGTTAAGTGAGAAGAAAGGGCTAATGAAGACACTTAGCCACGTATAATATCTTATTGTGAAAAAGAGGCTCGAAGAAGAAACTACCATCGTCGGAGAGCACCTCCATGAGAATAAGAATCAATATACAAAAGATGCTCATTATAACATGGAAGAAGAAGAACAAGTACTTCAGTGAAGAGACTTTTTCCGACTATTTCATTCTCAAAGCTGTACAATCAGATTTGTTCATTTTTTGTGAATGTGTGCAGTACTTCGTGGCTGATAGTGGTTTGTCTAACTTAGTAACAAGCAACATAAAAGTGCTATTGGGAGTTGCATCAAGATTACTAAATTTGAACAAGAAGTTGAGTAACATGACAAAATATTGGGAGACTCAAGTGTGATGAGATGGAGTATATAGATAAAAATAAGTAAATTATTATTTATGAAGTAAAGAAAGTAGAAGAAAGAAGCGGTTTAAAGGACTTTGAATAAAATCCATGAACGGAAGCGCTGTTGAACAATTTTCTGTTGAGTATGAGGTGGGAACGTGTTTCTAATCGGGTCTTTCTTGAAAGATAAATCGCTTTTTCTAGCACATCACGGTTGCTGATTCATCGAAAGTGGATTAGAAGAGATGTGATGAGATTTTTGGGGGAATTATGAACAAACGGCTAATCGATATCCATTAATAAGTACAAGAAAACATCAACTTAACTAAGACGTATTGTGTTGTTTAAAATGAACCTGTACTTCTAAATCTGGTTCACAAGGTGATGAAATTGGTTGCGGAACTAATTGTGGAATAAGTACTACACTAAAAAGGTTACATACACCAACTAAGTCAGTCGCTCTTTACCAAACAAATTACTTATCGAAATAAACTAAGGTTGAAAAATCCGATTTTCAAATTGCTTTCAACTATATATTATTAATTCACCGATATTTACCAAACCACATAAATTGGTGATGGGTGGGTATTAAATAGGGTTTTTGACTGCCTATTGCGGTATATTTCAAAGATATTTATGACTGGTAGATGCACAACTTTTCGGCAGTGAATTTGTTCGTCATCTAACTGAATGTATTGTCATAAGCTGTGTTATAATATTCTGTTATTGAACTACACTAGTTATAGAAATGTTATGTTGTTGAGCATGGAAAGTGAAGATTTCTCTGGATTCCAAATGACATCAGTGCAAATTTTAAGTTATGTACTGTGAGAATTATTTTACAAGAAAATAAGTAGTCCTTACTGATAGCCTTTCCGGTATTTTTTTTCAGTGCCTACGAATATGGTTGTTTCAAGACCCTTGATCTCTGACTTTATGGTCGTTTTTCACTCATTGGTCAACAAACAGAATTCATACTGATATGCTCACTAACTGTTTATTTACCCAACTATCGGTCATTTAACTTTACTTCCGGATTATTAACAGTTTCTGTAATTCAAGAATCTTTTGTTCTCCTAGTAGATTTCATGCACACTGTTGTCTAAATTTATTAGGGGAAGATGTACAACTAATGTAGGTGGCGATTTTATGCGGACGATTGTGAACATGGTGGTCTCCTTATTACATATTTTTTTTCTGGTATTCACTCTAAAATATTTTTGTAGATGATGTCTGATTTTTCTTGCTTAATCTCTACTTCCTTTAAGGTGCATAATACGCCTATTTTCAAAGCTTTCAGTAGTGATCACCGAAACGTCTTGCATACAAGGGGGAATAACTCTTTATTATTTTGAAGATGAATTTGATAAACACCTTTCGATGACGTTTTTGGTTAGTCATTCTTCTGAAATATAGTTGTTAGATATTTCTTTGGAGTACAACTGAATCTTTAAACAGCTCTATGTATGAGCCATGTTTATTGCGTAAGAACTTGCAGTGTTGCTCAGCTGCTCAAACCGAAGAAGATAGAGTGGGATTTTGAACCCGGGACCCATTGTTTGGAAGTCGAGTGCTCTCATCTACTGGATCGCTTTTCTATCGCTGAACTATCTGAATACTAATATTTATCTCTGCTATCATCTTGGTTAGACTCTGTTGCAGTTAATCTTTGTAATCACAATGGCATGTATCCAAAACGTTTCTCTTGAAGCTTCTCGAAACTTTTCAATTCTAACAGTTAGATTCACAATGTTAGTTGTGGTGCGGAATATACTCGAAATATTTTCTTCCGTCTACAACTATAAAATAACTTCCCTGTCTTTGTGTTGAACTCATAACGTTTTCTAATCGAATGAGGTGTATGCAGATTTGCCACTAGATGGTAACTGGCATAGTTGTCAAGTCTATGTGCTCAGTAATCATTGGAGTTTGTCAATGAAGTTTCAAGTTTGCTTATTAGTGAGACATTTCAGTGTCCTCTGTTTTGGAGTTTGATGTTACCAGTTAATGGATTGAAAAGAATTGATCGACATAAATGCTGAGCACTTAGCACTCTTTGGTCTCAGCATTCACCATCTGGTGACCAATTCATGCGCCCATCCCTGTCCTACATGAGTTTTTTGTGTTTGAAATAGTTTAGCGGTGAAGTACATAACTTCAACATCTGAATTAGAAAACATTACTCGTCTCAAGATTTTAATCATATCTTACTGATGACTGAATCTAGGGCTTCCTGCAGATATACTCCTTAAACCAGGTACAAAAGTGAAACTTTTCATTATTTTATGCCTAGACGTTTTTATTAAGTTAGGTTACTTTTTTCGGACTACGAACAATTGATTACTCTGATTTGTGTTTAATTAAAGACGCAATTGATGGTTCAAGAGGTAGTTTGCTACTAATTACCGTCGATAAGTAAGGAATCTTTTCATATTTCTAATCTGTACAGATATCCTCCTTTATGCTTTTTCTTAAGAAAAGAGATTAAACTTTTATTTGTGGGTATTATTAAATTAAATCGTCGCAAAGTAAAATATAAGATGAATATTACATGAAGGAGTATTGTTTAAATGACTGATTGGGCTGATGAGTGTTATCACTGACTACTGACAGACTGGAGCAAGTGATGCCACATCCACTACTGAATCGCCTTCAGAAGATAAAATTATTAATCAACTGACCTATCGATCCCACATGAAGTTGTTGGTGCGCATTAATGTGTCAGAACTCTCTGATTTTCAGGAATTTTCAAGGTAATTTGAATATCTGATGAATTTTTTGAAGCCAGTCGAATGTCTACAAAATTTCCAACTCAGCAACAATCCATCAGTGGCTTGTTTTGTGGTGAATTCATCGAAGTTTTCATAAGAAGACTTGCAGAATCAACCGAGTTTGATGTGAAGACAGCTGGTCGCCCCTGATACTACATAATGATTGGTATCATCCTTACCCTGAGATCTGTTGGTCGTGAATTCAATATTACTAGGTCATTTGTTTATTAGTGAGAAATACCAATATAGGACGAAGTAACTGTCCAAGTTTTACAAATTTCCTAACTAATGTTGACCCATTATGAACAATGTGATAATAGTCAATTCCCCACAGGCCTTCTAACTAAACAACTGACATTGTATAATATATCACTTTATGCTAAGTGACTTATCACATATACATAAAAGATAATGACTTAGGTGAAGTTGATATTTATCAGATAGCAAATATCCCATTATGAAACCATGGAAGCGTTAACAAGATACCCAACCTGTCCTTACCAGTAGGTGTTTGGTCACATTTTCTACCCACTGTGACTGAAGATTGCATCACAGTCATCTGAAGCTTCAGGTATTTTATCAATTTGTGTTTCACTGAGTATAAAGCATCCTCTGTTTCGCTGTAATCAAACATCATTTATTCATATCTGTTATTTTTACTGTTAGTATTGATGGTGATATTAGTTCATTATTAATAACCAAATATCTATCCATTTAGTGCTTTACACTTCTACTACAGCTGTGAATATATCGTCTGATTTATTGGATTGATGTATGATTCCTTGCACCTCGTAAAATTGCTATCATTGTTTATTTGTCTGCTCACAATCCACTGTTATTTTTGACTGTTTTATGTAGATTCTGCACACAAATATTGATCAGTTTCCACATACTGTGGCATTTCTCCAATGTCGTGGATCTGTACCACTCTACTGGAGTCAAACAGGCTTAGTTTACAATCCCCCAATACTTCTAGAGAAAAGTATGTATTATGTTAAAATTTCTACTTTGTTTTCAAATTTATTATTATTATTATTACTGTTATTATGGACATGTGGTTGTAGTTCATTGGTTTTATCACTCAATTTCCATCCGGTTGGTCGGGTTCTCGAGTCTTACTCCATCTACACGAGTTTAGAAAGTCGAGCTGTGTCACAGTTGTCTCACAGTATGTGTGATCTACTACTTTTGGTTGTTTAGTTGCGTGATGTTCTGCAAGAAGTATACTGATGTAAGTGTCAAGTTTCATCTTATGCATAGTTTGTTTAATATAGGCATAGTTTATGCTAAAATAGGATAATTATGTCAATGATTCCAATGGACAAAATAACTCTAGCTGATTGTGCGATAAAAACTGCTCTACAGTAGATCATTAGTGTCATTCTGCTGCGCTAATCTCTTGTCTTCTCTAATTTCTCAAACTAATAATGAGTAGTATGAACATCATAAGGTAAGTTATTCCTCAACGTAGAAAGTATGTGATTAAGCCATAGGTGAACACATAGCACCATATTCAATTAATATTCGAAAGGGTATCAAACATAAGTTGAAACATTCATCTTCTCCCATATTATTTTTCAATCAATAATATCTACTGTAATGGCTGCCATCCAGGTTTTCTATCTAAACTTCAATTGTCATCCCATTACTTACAATTATGTCAATAAGATTGAAGTTATTCAAGACAGAACAAACGTCAATTTCTTATTTACTAAAATATATTTTGTAACTTTTAATCTTTTTTGACATTAGCTATGTAGAAAACCTTTCAGCGCATGATCAATATTGAATAGGCATTGCTCAAGGTATATTCTTAAATCAGTTAAGGGTTATGAAGTGCTGAATTCTAACTATCTTTAAACATTTTAACTAGAGTACTTTGATAAGCTGACATTTATGTTCATTTTCTTCTATTAGCTTTGATAAAAACGTTGGTTACTTCGCTATTATTCCTTTTTTTGATGTGAAGCTATTCATCAGTATTTCTTTAGATATTCAATTGCTCACTGAAATCTAGTATCTGTTCTACCATTTCTATTTTCAAATTTCTTTTAGATTGTTAGACTTAATTGTTGATTTTTTAAAATATTATTTTTGTGACCGAACAGAGAACCAGCCCTGATGTTGCTCCGCTTTTAATTTCTTTACATTGAATATTCCCATTTAGATATTTAGAAAAAGACTGATTGAGCGATGAAATATATTCCTTTTCAATTAGGTCTTCATCTTGGGCTCTACACTAATATGTAGGTTTACAATTTAATCAAATCACGTGATGATGTTTCGGAAATAATGATGTGAATAATCAATAGAGTTACTAAAATTGGAAATATGAATATTGATAACAACAAGAAGGGGAAGAGGTGTACAAAATAAACCTAGAAGATACATCATGTTGACGGCCACGATAATGAAAGTGGTCGAACAAACTTCTTTTGGATACAAAGGCTAGGTTTGTGAAGGTGGGCGTACAATGAGGCAGTTCCATCGTCGAATTTCTGAGCACCACTCATCATGGATCAGCAAGGGATAAATGAGAACTATAAAGAGCTCCATACTTGCACAATTAGTTGACACAGGACATCAAGTGGTTACTGGAAAAGCCTTCAAAATCATCCATCAGATTCCAATCAATTTACCTCATGGATTACGCACTCGGTTACTTCACAAAGCAGAGGCGATTGCAATCCACCTTCACAAAACTAGCCTTTGTATCCAAAAGAAGTTTGTTCGACCACTTTCATTATCGTGGCCGTCAACATGATGTATCTTCTAGGTTTATTTTGTACACCTCTTCCCCTTCTTGTTGTTATCAATATTCATATTTCCAATTTTAGTAACTCTATTGATTATTCACATCATTATTTCCGAAACATCATCACGTGATTTGATTAAATTGTAAACCTACATATTAGTGTAGAGCCCAAGATGAAGACCTAATTGAAAAGGAATATATTTCTTCGCTCAATCAGTCTTTTTCTAAGTGTATATTGCTGAAAAGCCTAAAAGCGAGTCAAACGAGTTATTCACTACTCCCTAACTTCCACTGGTTATCTAGTTTATGTCTACATTATGGAAAATATCCTGGAAAAGGTAATAATTCTTATCATTTTTCATAATCAGTTGAATAAAGCTTGTCTGTATACTGTTAATGACCACGCGAACGAAGAAAATCATTCTGTCAGAGATAGTTTTATATATTCGATTAATTCTCATGGAAAGTAAATTTATTCATTTATGTAGGCAGAAACACTTGAAAGGAAATGAATAAAAATGTTATTTCACTTCTTTTTATCTCAATATTTCATTTCCGTTGTATTTTATCCACTTTTATGTGAGATATTTTGTCTCCTAATATCTTGAAAATTTCAATTTCTGTTACTCTTCTGTTGTATTACAAAATGTATTGTTCCATGTAGACTGAAAGGAATGTTCATATTTTACTCGCTAATGGATTAGTAATTTCATAGAGATCAGTCTGTAGGAAAAAAACAGAATCTACTCTATGATTTTGTTAGTAATTTTGTGTAAGACAGATTGAGTACAAGTGAGAAGTGATTTATGAACAAAACTTTTACCAGACATATTCACCATTTGTTATATTCTTGTCACACTTTGAAAAGTTTTAGGACCTATTCTTGTTTATTAATAGACCGATTCTTGTATCATAATTAAACTTCCAATGAATTTTCAGAAATACACAGAATTATACGTTTTGATTCTTTTAATATTTCGAAATAGCAAGGTTTTATATTTTCTTAATATATAGAAATAATTTCTGCAGAACATCTAATATTTCCTGACATAAAATAATAGAATGAGAGTTTCTTTCTGTATTTGTTCGTATTCTGTTTGAGTAACTACCGGAGTTTTAACAGCATTCATTATCACCTTTTCTCAACCATATGAAAATAAATGTGTTAGCAATGGCTTATAGCTTCAGTATTTACTTGAACTTACCGAAAATACACTGGTATTGTATCATATTAATTTAGTATATTTCCTAAGTAACTGATTTACTTCTGCATGTTTACCATGTAATTAACCTAGCAAAATGCTGTGATGTTCAGTCAAGGAAAGATCGGAGAGTTGATGCACCCTTAGATGTTTCAACTTCTTTGGTTGTTCCTACTGTAGTTGAAGTTGATGACATATCTTCGCTCTTATCGAGGCATACAGACAACTGTGTACATGAATGTGACTGGGAGAGGTTAAAATCTTGGATACAGGAAATACAAAGAATGCCAGAGAATTTTTGGAAGCTTGGTATTCAGGTTATTCAACAACCAACGGACATATTGACATTGACCTAATCTACCAATCAATAAGAGACGACTTCAAGGTCAGAGATCACCTCAGCAGGACAACCAATCAAAATAAACATGGAGACAATGCCAATACCTTGGCAGAAACAACCAATCAGACGCAAGATCATCAGAGGGAGCTACTAAATGAATTGCGGAAAAAGCCCTTTACCTCACTTCTTTACAAAGTTTGTACTGATGTTGTTTAGAATGACATCGAAAGCTTCAAGATTAAGCAATCCAGCTCAGGGAACATAACACCATCAAAATTTCCGCTGTTCTTTCACGTAATTTTATTTTCGAGATAATCCTAAGCTATATTAACGTCAGAGAACATGACATGGTTTATTTAGGGGAATTTAGTTGAATCAGTCTTTGCTTGAATATTTATTTTATGTATTAGTATAGACCAAAATGTGTTGATCACCTGGAGCTTGCAGGTGTCTATCAGCTAAATATAATTTCACAAAATGTCTGAGGTGGCAATTTACATGAGATTGTTTCTTCAAGGGAACGTTGAAGCATATTGAAAAATATGCTCAAATATAGATGGCATCACTTTCCTTATTGTCTACTACAATTACAGTTTATCAGATACAATGAAGTCCTCGTTTTTGGATAATCATTATCACTATCAATTCTTATTTCCTGATCTGCCTCTTTCCTTTAGGAATCCAAACCATGTATTATCTAATGTCCGTGCTTTCTTTCCTTTTGCACCTCTATACATGTAAAATCTCACACATCTTCAGTAAGTGACTGCTAAGATTATATGGACGATTGTGTGGGATGTTTACCGTTGCTCACCGTTTTCATCCTATAATTCTTATACCCTATCCCTCCTTCGATCAACGAAAATGGTATTAAATGCTTTAAGTTAAGGGATTTCTAGATGTAACTGTTATACCGGACGAGAAACTATCAGCAATGTGTACTCACGCAAGGTGTGTTTTCCACGACTTTTTATGTCTATCACTTTATCTATCGTGATTCAACAGATTAGAAATAGAGATTTTTTGTTACTGTATCTTTTCAAGAAGTACTATTGAGACTGCTTTTTATAAGCTTTTGATTATATATATATATATATATATATATATATATATATATATATATATATATATATGAATAGTTTCATGTTGGTGTAAATGTGTTGCTTTTCTTCTCTACCCTACCCCTTCCACTTTTCTTTCTCCTACGTATAAACCTTATGTTTATGCTTACATTCACCAAAAATTTTGTAATATATTAACTGAGGATTAATGCTCATCTTGAATCAGTTATAACCTATTTGATAAAAACAGCTGTCTAAGATTCTCATAATTTTTTTTTATACCCTGATACCACCAAATGTACTACAGTGTAGTAATAGCATATATAGCGTGATAGAACGATGTACACTACATTATACCTATTTGGCTAGCATTGAAAGTACTAAATGACGATGTACAATCTAACGGATATAATGTTGGTATCCTCCTAAGTAAAAGGATCTTGAATTTCATATTTTCAAAGTATACAAAATAGCCTATTGAAATAAAGTATTCCTGAAATGAGATGAACCACTTGTCCATCAATCTCTTCTTGTTTGCATTGACTACTCAATTTATGATGATGATATGTTGAAAGTTTTTTCTAGAAACCCCTAATTCACTTACATCATGATGTATATTCATTT